CTGTTGGCAAATAAGATGCAGCATTCTGGGATCGACCGAATTTATGTACATTTAATCTTTCCATTCATGTACAGCTCAAGAGAAACCAAAAACAGGTAAGAAACTATTCCTCCTCTTCTCCATCTTCCAGTGGTGCTTTGCCTGTATTTTTGCAGCTTTATAGCTAGATAACATAGTTTGAATGAACTTTTTATATGTAGAATTTGCTTAAAGAGCCAAAATGATTAAATATCATCTTATATCTGCTTCTCAAATTCCTCATCTTAGATTTCATGACTTTGCTAGCGTGATTGTCATTTGTCTATGTTATCTTTTTGTTTTATATATTAATGGCATTAATACGCAAACTGTTGGTCTCACATCTGAACTTTCAAATGCATAACTATATGCATAAATTATATGCGAAAATTATAAAGCCAATCCATCACAAAAGAGTAGATTGGATTGATAATCAAATCTAAGGTTGAATTTTGATTTTAAGACTAACAACTTCTCCTCCTGGAAAGAGACCAAATGAATTATAATTAGATTAAATCTAGATCCTATCCTGCAGCCTGCAAGTAAAGACAACATGCCGAACCAACCCTCTGACTATAGCTTTTTTTTTTTTTTGAACTGAAGTTTCAAACCCACTAACAATCTATTAATCAATCAAACAAACACATATTGCTACCCTATTTGTATGGGATTCAGCTTGCTATCTGTCTGTGGTTATATGATCATCTTAATTATCTAGCCCTTATGCTACTATGTTTGTGTTCATTAACCAATCACATATGACTACCCTGTTGGTACTACACGATAACTCCTCTTTCTTTCTTTCTTCCTCAGCTACATGGGCATCACTGACATCATTATCTTAATCCAGAAAAGACCCGGTTCATGGGGAGGATTTTTCTTTTGAAACGAGCTCGCAATGTATTATTTTGAAGTCACTCCTAGATCTCTATGTCTTAGCCAAACCCAGGTTTGTCCCCTTTCCTTCTCTCTTGGACTGTCAGATTCATGTCAATGATTAGGTAATTATTACTCTGTTCCATTCATGTTATTGGTTAAATTTTCATTAACACATTACCAAATGGTTGTTTTCCATTAAATTATCCACCACGAACTTTATATTATGTTTACTGCTTGCCATATAAACTACCATATCTATTTTCTTTAAGCAACCTAAAACTTCCATTCAACTTGATGTTGGAAGGTTGCTGCTGTAATGTGTTGCCTTCGGTGAAGCTTTAGACTGTTATTTAATTAAATATGATATTGATCATTATCACCTCTCTTCTGATTGCTTTTGTTTTTAAAACCCATGGTATCTCATTGGTGATTTCCTCTGTCATTACTTCTGCATGAAAGATTGACACGAAAATGGGGTTAATATTGACACCTCAGCTACAATATCACAATTGAGACTAACCCTCTATGAAATAAAAATAAAAATTGAGACCGAACGAGATAAACTAATTTGGTGATTTAAACATTTTTAAATGAAGTGATCAGTTGCAGGTACTGCATTCTGATGCAAAATGTTTCACATTTATGTAAAATAGTGGGTTGAGAAGCTCTGTACAAAAGGCTTTCTAGAGCTTGATGGTTTTAAGTTTAATATGAACACGCTCCATCATGTATGTCAAATGTCTGCGAATATCACGATTACAAAAACTAACCTATGTCAGATGCTTGATAATACTACGTCGATTGCACATGTTAATCTATAATATATCATCACATCTTTATGATAACGTTCCCTAACCTGTACCTTTTACAAATGTCATTGTTTCATTTTTCTTTTACCTACCAGGTCAGGCTCAATATTAAAATTCTTACCTGTCAATTACAAATCATTTCCTTTTTCAGTTGATTCATTGGCCTATGACCATCAACATCATCTTACATCCATTGGTTGAAATATTAGTTTGCCTTGCCATTAAAGTATGAATGATAAACCTGAAAGAGTTTTGCTTGGTTGTCTGTTTTAATTTAATATTTTCTTTGTGAAGCCAATAATCATCTTGCTCATTCTCAAGTACGGTGGGAGCAAGAAGTTTGGTATATGTTTGGTGTTTCTTCCATCAATCATCCGGATCTACGACGTATATCAACAGATTATGGTTTTGATGGTCATCCATTACGAAAAGACCTTCCTATGATGATCCAGTGTTCCTACTGCTTTAGTTGCTTAAGTGGTTGATTTTTTCACTTGCTGTTCTGTTGCAAGGATTGCAACATTTTTTTCTCTTCTTAATCCATAAGCATTTGTTATTTTTAGGATCTGAATTATTGTCAATTGCACATTTCAACATTACCAGCATAACAACAACTCCACAAGTTGTATAATGAGAGAAGTTTGCAGATCATCCAACAAGATGAAAGGAAGGTAATTAGCTGTATTTCCTTTATTTATTAGGGTTAAATATATATATCTCTCTCTTATCTCTTGAATTTACAAAATCTGGATTCACCAGAGGAGTATGTGATGCTTGCTTGAGCTCTTCATTTGCCTCTTTAAAGTGAACAGAATGGCAACTGTTGGGGACGGATTGAGTACTGACTTCTTTCAAGTGTATTGTGCATTCAAGAGCGAGTGCTGTTGGGAGGAGTGCCTTCTTGAATTGCTATTTGATGGTTTTGATCAAGAGGTGTTTCTCTAAAATAAAAGTAGTCAACTTCGTGTATGTTATCACCTATGATTATACCTATCAATAGGGGTGATGGTGCTCTAATTTGTTACTTCTGTTTCTATAATATGATATGATGCGCTCTATATTTAGCACCAAGTTCTATTCACTATTTATAGTAATTATGTACTCTTTTCGACTGAACCTTTTGTTTTTGCGCGAAGCGTAGCGAGCGGGTCATTGCTAGTATAGATTAAAATTGGAGAATGTACAAAGATACCTATGGGATTCTTCTTCCATTTTGTTGGCAAATTACAGTCAGAGGTTGGTCAATTGTATTCGTGGGTAGGGTAACCAACTAAAAGAAAAACCATTCTAGGGTATAAGATCGGCCTTAGCAGCAAGCAACTGCAACGCATAATAGAATTTTCACGTCCTTAGCAGCAACTGCAACAGCAACTGTAAGGTCGGCCTTGCTAGCGCAGCGATTCACGTCCTCTTCTCTCCGCCAACAAGACTGGTCCACTTGACAGCCAGGCGAGCTAACGTAACCCGATTGCCAGGGGGCGTGATCCGCATAATCTGCTCTCCGCCAATCGCGCTCCAGTACCGTGAATCACATGGCTCAGCTCGCTTTTAAAGCTAGCAATCGGGCATGAGGTTAGCTCTTCGTTCACGCGAACTGCTTGCTAGTTCGCTTTACTGTGCAACGAATTGTTGTGGGAATTTATATTTTATTTTTCCCTCTCAATCCAGATCTTTTTCATTTATTTCACAAGGCAAGCGACAAACTTGATGAGATCGAGGGCACGAAAGAGGTCCAAACTGAATCAAGTTCTAAAATTGAAGATTATACAACACACGCCAACGTATGATGTTGTTCTGGTTGAGAGGTGGTTGTTAATCGAGCTCAACAAAAGAATGTAGTAGCTATCGCTAATAGCCTAATATGGACTTGGCAGGCATCCCCAAGGATATCGATTGATGCTGTCAGGTTATTATGGACGATGGAGAGGTTAAGTCGTTTGCATGTGCCAAAATTGATGATCCATGGTCCACTTTCAACCACATAACAATCAAGGGAAGGCGACATGTCAAGGATGGAAGTAGCTAACCAGATTTTTTCAAGGCTGCAGCCTACAAGTGGCCCTTATTCTGGAAAAGGATGCACGCACAATTGGCACATGCTGTAAGAGATAAAAAAGAAAAAAATGTTAACAAACTCTTTTCCAACAACACAAGTTATTGGGATTAAATGGTTTGTTTGCTAACATGAGATATTAGAGCCTTGAAATGTCATGGTTTCGAGACTTCATGACGACCCACAATTTAAAACAATGGTTTAGCACAAAGGATGTTATAGCCAACCTGTGCAAACTTAAAACCTAATGATTTCGCAACACAAGAGATGATATGTTCAATCGAGGGACGAAGAGGAATACAAATACGATAAGGACAACGACTTGTCCCTTATCATGACGACCCACAATCAAAAATAATGGTTTAGCACAAAGGATGGTATAGCCAACCTGTGAAAACTTAAAACCTAATGACTTAGACACTACAACGTTGAGTAGCGTAATCTATAGCAGGCTGCTCAAGCGAAGGACGAAGTGCACGAAGATCAGATTCGAGAGCTTGAAGCCGATTGGCAAGATTCTCAAGATTTGGAGGAACGTCCCGAGCACGAATACCAGCAGAAAACTCACTATACTTTGGGCCGAGCCCGTGCAGACATACAGTGACAAGCTCCTCATCGGGAATATAACTTCGCCAGCAAGAGCAAGATTAGAAGCACGTGACCTAAGTGCTTGAATATAAGTGGCAATGTCACGATTACCTATTTTCTCGCCAAGGAGTCGATCACGAAGTGTTATGATGCGAGAGTAGGAGATATCGACATAGGTATGTTGACGAATCTCCCAAGCATCGCGAGAAGTTTGAGCGGCCGCGATGAATGGACAAACTTCTGCCGAGATTGAAGGAAAGATGTCGTTGAGAAGAAGTTTGTCCTTCCGAAACCAGTGGGTGTGAGCAGGGTTCCAGGCTTGGACACCATCGACAAGAAGAGTAGCACGCGGCGCAGGAGTGGTGTCGTCGAGATAGCCAACTAGGTCAAGACCATAGAGCAACAAAAAGAGTTGAGCGTGCCATGACGGAAAGTTGACGGCAGTCAGCTTAAGAGGAAGAGAGGCAGCTGGATTGAAAGTGACCAGTTGGCGATCAGCGGTAGGAGACGCGCCGGAGGAAGTAGAAGTGCTGGTGGAGTCGCACGTCACATAGCCAGACATGGCGACAGGTAGACAGAAGAACAAAAAAGAAGAAGTCGAAAACAAGAGCTAGGGTTTGGACCTTGGCTCTGATACCATGTAAGGTTTTGCAATTGCAACAATACGTATATTGATATTAACACGGGTATATACACCCAAAGATATTACAGTGTACAAATAGGATTGCAATACTAAAGATCGCTATGCAAGGGTATACAAATACGATCAGGACAAAGACTTGTTCCTTATAATGACGACCCACAATTTAAAACAATGATTTAGCACTAAGGAAGGTATAGACAACCTGTGCAAACTTAAAACCTAATGATTTATCAACACAAGAGATGATATATTCAACCTGTGCAATTTTTGTTTTCTGGCAATAATTAACCTGTCACATTTTCTGTTTTCTGGCAATAAGTAACAGAGGTTGGTCCTTCTGTAGTGTAAGTCCAAACTTCTCCTCCATATCCAATTTGGCCGGATCGTCGCCGTCGGGGAGAGTCCAATCAAACCCTTCAATCAACGAAGCAAGAATCAACGACAATTGTTTAGTTGCCATGGGAAGTCCCGGGCACGCCCTCCGACCCGACCCGAACGGCAGAAGCTCAAAGTCACAACCTTTGAAGTCCGCAACAGCTGACCCCTTGTCAAGGAACCTCTCAGGTCTAAACGACAAGGGATCCTCCCAAACAGATGGATCTCGACCAATTGCCCACACATTGACTAGCACCTGGGAATCCTTGGGTATTCTGTAGTTCATCACTTCGCAAGTCTCCATAGCACAGTGAGGAATCAGGAACGGTACGGGTGGATGTAGCCTGAATGTCTCTTTTATGCATGCATTCAGAAATATCAGTTGAGAGGCATTAACTTCATTAACGGAGTTTTCTCCAATTTCTCTCTTCAACTCTTCGCGAACTTTTGTCATTGCTTTCCCATTTCTAAGAAGCTCTGCCATTGCCCATTCTACTGTCGTAGTAATGGTATCTGTTCCCGCTGTCAGCAATTCCTAACAAGAGTTGTGAAAAATAAAGTAACATCAGAGTATATAAAAATAGAGTGATAAAAAAAAAAGAGAGAGAGTCAAGTGAAGCTAACAAAGAGGAATGAGTTGATCGGGGTATCTTACAAAGAATAGCCAATTGATTTTGTGATCGTCAAAACCATTGGAAAGAAAAACGTCGAGGAAATCGCCTTTCAGAGCGTCGACATGAAATTCCGATTCATGGGTTTCTCTTCTTTCCTTTATGTAACGCTCCCAAACCGAGAACATTTGGCTGACGACCTTGGCCACCTTCTTCTTCAAACCCTGAGGGTCTACCCGCGCCAATACAGGAAAGAAATCAGCAATGTTCAGAGTGGCTGCAAGCTCCATCATTTTCGAGATATGACTCTTCAACCCACTAGCCTTTCCCTTACGATCTTCCAACACCAACAAGTCGTCGGAGAAGAAAAGGTTACAGAGCGAATTGAAAACTGTAGTGAACACGATTTCTCCAATATCAACAACTCGCCCTTCTCTGGCGGCAAGGAATTCGACCATCTCACAGACTTTCCTCTCCCTGACGGCGGCCTGCAACTCGATTGCTCTGCCGGAGAAAAGCTCCGTCCTGCAGAGCGCACGAAGGGACTTCCAGCTGTCGTTGCACGTGGTGGCCCACACGATTGCCATTCGGTTGACATCGCTGAGTTTGAACGGATTGGCCTTGCTAGCGTACCTTGCCGATAGGACTCGGTCGTGGGTTTTGAGGATTTCGGCTGCGGCTGACGGAGAAGAGGCGACGACGATAAGTTGAGCGCCGAGCTTCACGGAAATTAACGGGCCGTAGGATTTGGCGAACTCGGACATGGTGATGTGAACGTTTCTTGTCATGTGTGGGATGTTTCCGAGAATCGGCCATGGCTTTGGCCCTGGAGGAAGAGGGAGGAGCTCTTCCTTCTTCTTTGAGTTAACGTGTTTGATAGAAAGGAGAAGTAGTAGCAGTGGTAAGAGGAGGAGGAGAAGGAGAGTTTCATTGACGGATATTGAATGCTCCATTTGTATTGTGGAGGGATTCGGATTTCAGGATATTGTGGCCAGCGGAATGCATGTTTGGCGTTAATTATTTAGAGAAAAAGCTAAGAGAGTTGTCGGCGGGGAATATGATTGGAAGTCTTCCAATTCGTGGCTGTGAAGGGCTTACAAGCGTTACTTACTACCGTAGCCAACCAAGTATGCTCCTGTCCACCGGCACCGTGAAGAAATTAAAGCTCGCCATTGAACGCACTTGACATTGACTTTTGATCCAACTCTTTTGCGGGTTTATTTTCGGGTGCATAATAATGACTTTTCAGTTTTCAAGAGGTTGTCAATTTTTATGGTTAACCTCAATAATATCGATTTCCACCCCTAATTTATGGGGGAAGAATATTCATTATTGTTGTGTTGTGTGAAGAAAAGATGGGTACGAAATGGTACATATATTTTCTTATTACCACAACCACCTAACCACCTTATCATCTTCTCGTACTTTGCTACGTCATGCAAACCATAATAATAAGTTTTGTGTGCGATTAATAATACTTTGGAATTTCATGCAAGTCTTTACTAATTAGTATTTCTGAGTTGACTAGCTGGTGTTTGATGTTGTAATCATATCGATCCGATAATTATTGATAAAGTTATCTATTGAAAAAAAAGGTATAGCATTGTACACTACAACAGAAACTGCCTTTTGCGACGAGTATAAATGGTCGCTAATGTCATATTTTGGTGGCGATATGTTGTGACAAAAAATACTGGTAGTAGCTTAGGTCATATTTGCCGCGTTAGGAAAACCAATTTGTGACCAATTTTTGATTTGGTCACAATAAAATATGTTTTGTGACGAAAGTTCCAATTGGTCACAAGTTTTTTTGCAACCAAGAAATTGGTAACAATAAATCTGTAAAAATAGTCACAAATAACATGAAAACCAACCAATTCATATATCATTTACCAATCAAATGATTAAGTCACAAAAGCAATTATTTAAAAACAAAAATTTTGGTTACAAAACTATTCTTCATAGCTAATGTAATTATCATTAAGTAACCAAATTTCTTGGTTATGAAACTCTTATCCTTACCAATATTTAATGGTCACTATATAATCCAAATATGAATAGTAATTTTGGTTGTAAAAAGTATATAATGTAACCAATCTATTTGTTCAAAAATAACTATATTCATTGGTCATAAATATTATTTCCAACCATGTTTTATGGTAACCATACGTTATAAATGTGACCATTTTTTTGGTTATAAAATGTTCTAAATATGACTTAAAATTTGGTTATATATATTAGTTGAGAAAGGCTACTAATTTGGTTATGATAGCATAATCGTAATGCAACCAATTTAGCCCATAATGGTCACATTATATTTTCAACCAAATACCAACTTACATTAGTTCATAGCAGTACTGATTCATTAAAAAATATAAAAATAGAAAAAATGAGAAACTCCAAAATGCCAAAGAAATCACTTCGGCTTGAGAGGTTCCTAACTGATGCAGTTGACATGATCACCCAACTCCTTTAAATTCTTCTGCCCCTGTTCGAAATACCTGCACCATAGTACAAATTAAGTGAACAAAACAAGATTTTTGGTTCTCAACAACATATCAAAACTGTATGATGATCCTAACCATCAACTGTTGACTACCAAGTGGCATCTCAAGAAACTAAACCTAACAACAGCTACCTGTTGATAAGTCAAAGGCTGGAACAACTAATTGAGTAGGCTCATGGGAAACAAACCAGTCAACAAAAGCAAACTCCAAGCTAATAATTTCAGCTAAGGAATCAAATTCAAACCAAAAGAACATCATCACCATTATATATGATGTTTTCTTTTTCCCTTTCTACATGGATTCTCTCAAGAGAAACAATTCTTTCTTCTCACACTTCCAAAACCCCACATTGGGTAGATCCTCGGACGAGTACTGACCATCCGAGAAGAACCATACTTCTTCCTTAAAGTTCAGGTCTTACTTCTAGTCTGAGGTGTAAAACTCAAATGCAGCAACATCCATTCCAATAACAACCTAATCGAGGCTATATATTGAATTGATGTTAAAAAATGATCGCCCAAGAGGAGGCTATTTAATTGAGATGGCAAAGAGCAAACTGACCTTGTCTGAAAAACCAGCTTTTGGCAATATTAGGTGCAAAGCTACCCTTGTCACCAACATTAGTTGCATCCTGACCGTACTTCTTAATCATAGACTGCAAACACATTAAAAATACCATCCATCATTATATAGCCAAATAAATAGAAGCCGAGATTCAGCAACTAAACACTCTTAAGCAATCAATGGCAGGGTTATCTGTTAGCAGTTGACAATTCCATCGAGTTGTTGAACCATAAAGGCATCAATAGTAGTCTGCTCAGCAGGGTTTTGTCGACATCAAACAAAACCAATCGATTTAATTCGAGCTTAATCTCAACTGATCAGGAAATGAGAATGAACTGCGATTCATGGAATGCTACAACTACTAACCTTGCCGATAATGGAGGGCCGATAATGGAGTTCACATATCAGTCCATTCACAGTTTTCTATCCATCTAAAGACTCTTGATGGATAGAAAACATACATAACAGCTTTGAACATCATGGTAGCAAAAATTAACTGATAACACCTAAATTATACATATATTCGCCTACACTTTTACATCCTAAAATAACATAAATTGTACCAAGTTCATTCGATTTCCCGATTTTATGCTTGGTTTTGTGTTTGAGTCATGTTTCAGGGTATTCTATCCAAAAAGAACGGAATAATGAGTCAATTCAACAAAAAGATGGTTAGGGTTCGAAATCTAGCGTCGGTGGAACTCGAGCCCGCGATGTCCCAGGCGAGGGCAAAGAGCCATACCACTCCGGCCGCGTCCCCTTTTGTTATCAATATACGAAACCCATCGTGTATTATGGTGATGAATCACGGAAAGAGAGCTAATTAACAATGCAGAGTCAAATTGCAAACTGCAGAGTCAAACTGCCTACTGCTAAACATAAGGAAAAGCTGGTTCATTTTGGGATTCTCGTGGGAAGCAAGCAGCTGCTAATTGCCAGGTGACCATTGAAAGCAAGTAGCTGACCATTGGAAGCAAGCAGCTGCTAATTGCCTTGTCCATGAATGAAAGAAAGCAGCTGGCCATTAAGAGTAAGCTAGCTGGTCAATGTATTAGAGGCAAGCTGACTGCTGAAGCTAGCTGCTGGTCCTCCTCGCGTTACACGGACTTGGAAATGGTAATGGACCAACTTGCTTGTATTAAATGGACCAACTTGCTTGAGGTAAATGCAAGCTCGAAGCTAAAGCAAGTTGGTCAATTGATATGTAAAATTTATGAAGCAAGCAGCTGGCCATTGAAAGCAAGGTCCTCTATTGGCCACGTAGTTCAAGCTAGCAGTTGGGAGCATGGATCACTCTGCAGTTGTTGAAAATGAGAAGTGAAATGGAAGCAGGCTGGTGAATTAAATGACAAACAGGCTGCTGCTGGTGAATTATGAGAGCAAGTAGCGAGAGATACCAAAATTGCACTATAAATAGAAGGAGAGGTGATGTTGCGATAGACACTAGACAATATACACACACCACTTCTATATTTTGTTCTCCCTTTCTAGTATTTGAAGTTAGCCGAAACTCTGTTCATTTTCATTCCAAACTCTTATTACTTCTTTTCATTTCGTTAATCATATCTCGTATTTCATCTATCGTGGTTCTTATGTTTGTGTTCGTATTTGGGAATACCGTGGTATATTGCGTTATTGAGATTACCGAAGTGAGCTTCTATTCTGTGGGGTTTTGATAATCATTTGTGGTGGTAGATTGGTCGGTTTCCACCGTCTTCGCCCAACGATTATTCCCCGTCGGAAGTTTGCTAGGTGTAATCTATTAACTCAATATACATACCATATTCTCAACCCCTCTGTCTTCGTCGTCGTCATCATCATGGTAATGTTCTCAACCTTCATCTTTCTAAATCTCATCATGTCCGGCAAATCTTCTAGTTGTTCTGGATTTGATGAACCCTAATATGTTTTACATTGATTGAGTGGTATCTTTGATATAGACGTGTTGTTCTCGTTCTTACGATCTTTTCTCGACTTATCATGTGAAAGTATCAATAGTACGCGTCTATTGTATATTTTATCTGACACATGTAAATGAGACTGCGAGGTAATTTTGCATGTTAGATCCCTCGTGAAAAGAGGGAATTGATCAGAGCCACCGGCGATGGGGTCACGTAGTTCCTCTGGATTAGCTTAAAAACCTAATACGAAAATTCATAAATCTGGTTATTGCTTTGGTTTAAGATTTTTGTAAGCCACGGTTTCACTTGATTCTTAAGTCGAAAGGGTGTTAATACATGTGCGAACGGGTTAACACTAAATTGGGAATTTTCACGGTCTAAGATATTAACACTCGCCTATATTAAATTCAACTTGTCTGTAAAATGCATATTAGGGGGATTCACTTCCGGGACAACGCCTTCTCCACTTGATTTTACTATGAAAACTACTTTATTGTATTTTTATTATTGCGTGTGTTTTTATTTCTAAACAAAAATCAACTAAAAACGATTGATTAGATAATAGGTAAAAGCTGAGTACTAGTACACGAAGTCTCTGTGGATACGACCTTGCTTCCTGCTATACTACCGTAGAACGATAGGGACCCTTGCCTATTTTTCCAGTGTTAGTTACGGGCGATCATTAACATGTTTGGATCCTTTGTAGTAAATAGAAAAAACCAAACACACACTTAAAAGAAAGAGTAGAATCTTACAGGATTCCACTTGAGCTCTTCTTCATTCATTCCCATCCCAACTATACGATCTTGCTTGTATCCTTATGGGTAATGGCTGACCTAAACACAAAATTATGACCAAGAATCTGTTAAAATGTGCAGAGCACATAAATCAGGGTGTGGAATGTTATAGGGATAAGTGCTACACATGTCCAGAATGCATAGACCTGGAGTATTGCTAGGAGGGAGAACCTCTGAGTAGTACTTTGTTAGTGCAATTGAATCAACCCGCTTTCATCTCTAGCTGTTAAAACAACCAGAACGTCATTAGAAGCCAACTGCCTACAAATCTCGAACCCAATCCCCTTGTTCCTCCCATAACCTCCAGGAAAACCACACCAGAAATTAGCAATAAGAAAATTGAACAGTTCCTTTCAATGCAGTTCAAAACGACAAAGCTACTATAAAATGAGAAATTCACCTGTAATTCTGAACATCGCTGTCGTGGCCGGTCTTGACGCGTTGTGGTTCCTCCTCCACAGTGCCTTGGAAGAGTCGAAGGTGATCCCGAGCACGAAGGAGAGTGAGCGGCGGCGACAGAAATATCGCGGACGAAGGATGAGCGGCGGCGGCGATCTCGCAGGCGAAGGATTGAGCGAGTCGAAGTCAATCTCAAAGGCGAAGGAGTGAGCAGCGGCGGCCACCGCGATCTCGCGGCGAAGGAGTGAGCAAGTAGACGGCGACCTCGAAGGCGAAGGAGTGATGTCAGTGTTTGATGCTTTCCTTTTCTAGGTAGAAAAGAAAAAATTTCCATCCACAGTTGAGATGCATACCAATCTCTCTAGAAATAGTAATCCATTCTAATTAACCACATAAAAAACAGTACTCTCAAAATACCAATCTCTTCAATGTCTGAATGATAGAGTACCAGCTGACTATGTAAAGAACATCACATCATCCCAAACAACATTTACTGTACCAGCTGAATATGTAAAGAGCATAACATCATCCCAAATAACATCATCCCAAACAACATTAACAGTACTAGCTGACTATGTAAACAACATCAAGCATCAAAACTTTTGCAGAATTTGTGACAGCAACCCTTTAAGCCCTGCAATTTCTTCTTTTAATTCTCCTATCTCATATACTTCTTCTCTTAAAGTACCCACTTCATCCCTCAAATTTTGGCATTCGGATTTCCAGCCATTCTTTTCAGCTTCGTTTTGCTTCAAGGCTTCTTCCAAAGCTCTTATCTTTTTATTTGAAGAAGTAGACACTGGATTTCGATCACATTCTTCTCCATTATTCGCTTCCTTCTGCAACCATACAAGATAAAAGGATATGCTACTTAGGATTGCAGAACAAAAATCCCATTAATGATTCTGTTGTGCAAACTGATACAACAGATAATGTATCTTACAATTTCATTTCTTAAGACAACAAAAGCTTTTTGACCCTATGACCCTTGGCAGCATACAAACACGTTGGACCTGTTTGTAAAGTTTTAAAAGTTTAGGTACTAAATTGTAAAAAAATAACATTGGGTCTCAAAACATAATTTTACCATCAAATTTTTGGGACATTTTTGTAAAAAAATAAAATTTAGGTACTAAAATGTAAGAAAAAATAAATTTTTTGAAAAGTAGTGTATTTATTAGGGTCGACCCACTGACCCGACCTTTATTGACCCGCCCCGATTCTAAAGGGTCAAACCGGGTTATGAAAGAAACATGAGCGGGACGAATAAGTTATACATCTTGACCCTTCAAGGACAGGTTAGACAGGATCAGGACAGTGTCAGAGGCGAGTCGGGCCCATTTTCAGCCTTAGTATTTGGAACTCTATTATTGCAAAGTTTCAATCACGCCTTGATGGATGGCGGAGGAAGTTTCTTTCTTTGGGAGGTAGAATCATTCTCAACCAAAGCACACTTTCGAGTCAACCGTTATACATGTGCTCGCTTTTGAAGGCTCCCAAATCATCTATACGGAAATGGAACAGATTCAGCAAAATTTCATATGTGCGGGAGCTAATGACCGCAAAAAAATATCATCTCATTAGCTGGGGAAAATGAAAAACAAAAAAAAAAGGCGGGGGCTTGGAGTGTTAGACATGGAGTGCAAATAGGGGTGGAGATTCGGTCACTGTTTTCCTTTTGGTCTCACTGTAAGCGCATTGCGAGATGAATTCTTTTGATCTTGTGATTGGTTGGCTTTTGTACAATCTTTTCATTTTAATAAATTCATTTAGCCCTTATAAAAAAACAAAAATAAAAACGCATCGCTCGTGAATATGGGTTGAGAAGTTTGTATGTTGACCACAATTTGAGCCGCTTCAAGCAGGGACGGACACAAGTGGAAGGTAGGGGTGTTCCATGACATCTTTAAAGTTTGCGAGAAAAATTAATGAATGTTTAATAGTAGTTTGAGTATGGAAAAATGATATTATATGTGATTCGAATCTACAACACAG